CTACTGGCTCGAAGGCTCAAGTCGTTCTGGGCTGCGGTCCACTTGACGCTACAAACGCTTCGAAGCGTTTGAGCAGCCAATCAGAACAAAGAATTTTACGAATTGACTAATCAAAGAATGCTTCGAAGCGTTTGTAGCATCAAGTGGACCGCAGCCCTGATCAGTTCTGATGAAGTATCTACCAGTATCTACGTAATGTTTCTCATGTTGTCCAAACTGACTAGCTTTATAATGTTGGCTAAAGGAATTGCATCAAAATGAAGCAGCAAGTACGAAAAATGGGACAGGATGCATTTTTTTGTACGAGGCTTCTGTTCGAGATATTTATCCGAGTTGCCTGTGTCCACGATTCGAGTTTTTAGTAACATTTTCTTGGATCGAAAATAATCGAGAACTCGGTTCAGCTGTATTTCTAGCATCGTTGACACAAGGCTACGAGACTTCTGTTCGAGATATTTATCCGAGTTTCCTGTGTCCACGATTTGAGTTTTAGTAACTTTCTCTCTATCCGAGATCTCAAATCGATTTCTAGCATCGTGGACACAAGGCTTAATGCAAAGTTGGTAGTGTCTTTTTTTTGTCACTGATTGGCTAATGCTGTTTTACTATCACAAGTAGAAAAGAGTCAGAAGTACCAATATTGTTTATCTTCCTTTTCTATAGTTTAGTATAGGGAAGGCGTGCACTCCAGTATGTTATAGAGCATTACATCATTACATGTTTTGCAGCACGGAGTGTTACTTTTTGTAGTTAAAAAATTAATAAAATATAATTAAATTTCTACTGTATTTCCTTATTGACTGATTCGTTGTTAGGTAATATTTTTGAACAAAAGTATATTTTTCTTACAGCAACAGAGGCCCCAAATGGGACCAATCGAGTCCGAGTTTGCGGGTAGCGGAGAATATCGTCAGACTAGCAACGATCCAACTAACTGGCATAATCAGTCGTCGGATCCGGATCTCTCCGAAATTTTGGATCAAGTCATCGAGATTGTCCCGGATGAAGATATCACAAGTAAGTACAGTGAAATATAAAAAAATAATTTTTCATTAGCATATGGTGAATGTCCCGCTCTGAGCTGTGATTATTCTCCATCTTTTTTATCAAAACGAAATTTTCTAACAATACAGAAAAAAGTATTTTTGTATGTATGTGTGTCTGCGCATGTGTGCGTGTGTCTATGAATAACTACAATTGGCTGCGTAGTATTACTCGCAGAAAATTGATTGTTCCTAAAAGATCTAATAAATTCGTTTATGACAGGAACTCTTCTAGCTGATATCGAAGCGCCGGAGAATAATGCCATGAACGAAACAATGGCAATTAATGCTATTCAGAAGACGTTGATGTTGTGCGAGACTGTTGTGAATTCGACGTCCTCCAGTATAACTATGTCTGGCACGCCTCCAGCCTATTCGACTGCGGTAAGTTTTTTCTTCTATTATAAGTTATTTATTTCGGATTCTTCTTCTTCTTCTTTTTACATTAGGCCTCTGACTTGTGTTATACCTCTCTCGTATGCTTGTGGTGTGCACGCTGATTATTTAATTGCCACGAGCATATGGGACTTACAGTTTTAATGCCGGTTCCAAACAGCGGATTTTTCGAAAGATGTTTTTGTGGGCAAGGATACTCTCGAGAGATTGCTGGTCTTTTTCGAGAGGAGACACAAGCGTAAATATTTTGGTGCCTACGGGATCGAACCCGGGACCTTTGGCATGATAGACCAATGCGCTGTCTGCCATGCCATGCTCGCGCTCAGAATAGTCGAATAGTCGAATTCGAAGCCATCGAGCAATTAATCGATTAATTCTCAAAAGTCATGGCATCGATAATCCCCTCGTCATTAGTGCTCAAGCTTGAAATCTCTTTATTGGACCTCTGATGATTGGCTCTCCTAATCGCAATGAACACAAAACTCCACTACATAGAAAAATAATAGAGAAGGTAGTATTATTATGGCACCCCAATTATATTCGTTAAAATGTTGAATCGATTCTGGACTCAAAGTTACAAAATATTTATTACTTAGGATACTATTAATAAAAATGTAGCGACATTGCATAATGATTCGAAGAAAAAAATGGATGGTAATGTGGCCTTTCATAAAAATAGCCTTAAAATATTAGTTTTGTTTAGAAAACAGTATTTGGTTACAAAATTAATAAAAAAGTAAAACATTTAAAAATGTATGCAAATGAATGTATATATATTTACATAACTTCTGCATATAAGCTGCTCAGTACTAAAAATCTCAGTATTAAGAATAGTACATGTAATATAAACTATAGATTAACCGTAGAGCTATACAATCGATTATCAAATAATTATTTTGATATGAAAATCTCCAAAAAGAAATTATGAGTAATAATCAATATCCACATATTAGCAAAATGCCATGCTATTGTTTAAATTTGCATAACTCAAAATATATACAGTCAAATAAAATGTTAAATAGCAAATACACTCAAAAATACATACATTTATGTCATAATACGCTCAAATGTAAGAAAAATGAGGAAGTAGGTGTAATTAAATGCTAAAGTGTACCTCAGAAACGTTTCAATATTATAGGCGGCACAGTTTTGACGAGTTTCCACCAAGATAAGTTAAGCAGCTATCTTATCATCGCATGGTACTATGATCCTTTACCGTTGGGTCGGAAATCCAGATAAGGAAATCTCAAGAAGAAGAAGAAGAAGACTGTAATACTCTAAATTACCTCTAGACTGTAGCGGCGCGGCGGCGTAGATAGTATTGCTTCTCGCGACGCACGGCGCTTGGAATGGGAATAAACAGTACTGCGATTCGGACTCTGCTGATTTATTACGAAAATCGAGTAATATTATACCATTTCCAGCATAGTCAATATAATGGCGCGCAAGTAATCCAGCAGGATAAACGCATCGTATGCCATAATCTTAAATCATTGAATTTTGTTATAGTTGGGTACTACGCCTGTGACGACTGCCAGTCATAATTACCAGCCACCTCCTATGTATCAACAGCCCAGGATGAGGTTCAATCAGCCAAGCATTAGACAGCCTGGCCAGTTTACACAGTTGCAGCTGCAACAGCAACGTTCTAAGCTCATACATCAACAACAACAGCAGCAGCAACAACAACAGCAGAAGCAACGATTATTACAACAACAGCAGCAGCAACAGTTGCTTATCCCATCGAATGCTACTGCGACGGATCAAATGAACAGTGGCATTAACATCGACAACCTTTTGAACAATACCGTTGCGCCGCCGAATGTGTCGTTGCAGGTATGTGTAGTATACAGTTTATCACGAAAGTAAAAAAATAAAAAATTAGAAGAGAAATTAAAAATTTCATAGTCGAATTATACAAAATATAATTATTCGCAATTTTCGATAGATTGTATTAGCTTATTTCTAATAAAAATATTGGTTACTATGTTTTGTATCTAAAAGATGCATAATAACTACATATGTGCAATGTTTTTTTTTATTCAGCGATCGAATGGCCCAGATTCACAAGTTTCTCCAGGCTATGGGGCATCCGTCCAGATGGCTTCTGGTCACCGACTCGCTCACTCATATTCCCATCCATCGACGATATCGCAGCAGTAAGTATCCTGTTAAGCATCCCGGATTGTTTATTCCACTTAAAATAGTTTTCTTAAAAATCTCATCATGTGGTTTCTTTTTATTACAGCCACATTGTGAATAGTAATTTCAACAGTGGTCAACAAGTGTCCGCCGCGGCGAGGCTTTCGCCACATTCTCCGGCCGGTATACTGCCGGTGTCGTTCTCTCATCCGCCATTATCACCACGGGTGGCACAAGTGAGTATGAAAGCATTATTACCCCCAGGAAGGAAAACTAAGGAGACTCCATTCAGTTTAGCCAGTCCTCAAAACATGGATCGATTTTGCGTTTCGAGCTAAGCTTCACAAGCGCTGCGAGTGTCGAGAATCGAAACTTAACTCGAAACGCACAGTTGGTCCACTTTTATTTACGAAAGTGAAATCTTAGTATCTTCCTTCCTGATTACCGCATCAGCTCAATAGAACAAAAATACTCATACAAGTTTCTAGTTTCATTAAGCCGTTATAGAAACGTTAGGTTTGTTCGCGTCGCATGCTCCAACATGTTCCAATATACTCCTACCATATCTCTTACTCACTCCAATGCGCTTGATAGAGTGAGTAGGAGCTATGGTAGGAGCATGTTGGAGCTTGCGATGCAAATAAACCTTATGATTGCAGACCCATAGTGGATCAATCACAATGAAGCAGCCTCATTGTGATTGGTCCATTATGAATCGGTAGTGTAGAATTGATAGTTCAGTATGAGCTTTAGTTAGAATTAATTAAATTTTAATTAATTATTTTATTTGAAAAATAAAAATGTAGAAAAAAATCAAATGTTTGTATGAATAATTTGCAAGTTAATGCAATGCTTAAAAACAAGCTTGAATTATTATACGTTCAATACGTTGGATTTCTATTTGCATTTTATAATACAGTATGCATATTGTTCTTTTCTTTGTTTTCTGCTTTTAATTTTTTATATTTAACATATCTTTATTTCTGTGAATATTTTTATACGTTTGCACGATATATGCGCTAGGGCAATTACGGCAACACACCGAGATTATTCAACCAGGTGAACCAGGTGAGACCGCAACAGCAGGTCACGACGCAACAACAGCTACAGCAGCAGCAACAACAACGATCGATGCCTTCGCCAGGGACGGCAGCCTCCGCCCGGCAATCTCCGTTTCCTGCCGAAGCGTTTCCTCCACCGACGTCGCCCACAGCCAGCCAGTTCCCACCAGGTCCCAATACTGGTGCACCAAATCCATCGGCTCAATATCGAATTCAACGGACCACGTCTACTCCTTCTGCTACGACGCAGTTGCCAGGTATTATTTTTCATACTAATCGATTGTTGAACTCGAGTGATCGTTATATAGTCCCCTACTTCAAAGCTAAAAGACAATTAGGATTATTGCAATTAAAATAATTAGGATTATTTTGAAGAAAAAGAGAAATTTTCTCTTCAAAAGAAAAAGTTTTGCAACCTTTTTTTGCAACCGTGTAGAAAACATTGCTTTGAATTTACAACAATGAGAGATGTTTGGGGATAATAAATATTAATTAGAAATATACATATAAAGAATTTAAAATGTGTATTGGTAGTTAAATAGAAAATTACTTAAGTATCATTATTTGTTATTTCATTGTTTAGTAGCAATGAAGTAATGACAAATATGGGATCTTGTATTATGTGGTGTGCGAAAATATGACAAATATTATATATTTAGTTGTAAGATTAGAAATATAAGCATCTTCGGAAAGTCGTTTTACCGTACCAACGCGTATTTAACTGTATTTGTTTTAGTTGATTTAAATACATTGAAAACTTAATAGTTTTTAAAAAAGAATTGCATAATTAAAAAGATTGTACAATTCAAAAGATTTTTGTAGTTATTTTTTATCATATTCTTTGACAGAGTATTTCAAGTATAATTTTTAATATCGGTAAATCGACTTCTTTACAGAATATTCTGATTAATGTAACGTTGTTTAATGTTTAAGTTATAATTCGCGATTATATTTTTTGTCACTTATTAATAAGAGGAAGGTTAGGTTTATTGCCCTAAAAAATAGACAGTTGTATCTATTTTACAATGCGTTTAAATATGTTAACTCTATTTCGTTTCGTTCGCAATAGTACGGATAGTACCAAAGAAATTCTTGAGTAAGTGCTAGTTTTTACATAGAAACTCGTTCAGCTGGTTTTTATAATAAAAAACAATATGCGATTTAATATATAATTATACGCGCGATGGAAGCTGTGATTGAAATATACGAAAGATTTTGTCCTGAAGTCGGTAAGTATGTACAGATTAAAATAAACTCTTGTTTAATCTCTACTAAACTGTGAAAGCCGTGCCGTAGTTTAGTCGGGTATGCGCATAGACTTTATTAGTATTTTTTATGCCTGTATCTCTCGATGTTGTTCTGTGAATAGACTTTCGTAATATTGTGTCATACGAATTCTCTACATAAAGAAAGCGTAACTCTGAGTAATGTAGCAGATTTTGCATAGTTTGTGATTTAATCTTCTAATTTATGATTGGAGCGATGTGTTATACTAGAGATTGAAACGCTTTCTTAGCTCTAATTTTCTGATCTGCTATCTTTCAAGTGAAAAATATCTTATTAATTCTGTTTCTTCATTCGCGGGGTTTAGGTTTAAGAGATTTCTTTTTTTAACATGAGCTTAGCATAATTAGGAGATTTAAAATATTTTAACAAATTAAATGAGATTATACATATTTCATATATGTGGCAGTTAACTTAAATATATATGTAATGATTTTTTTTTTTAATTTCTTTATCATCCAACATTTTATCATCCGACAATATCTATCTATTTAAAAATTTTCGACTGTGTCTCATAATATTGTTTAATATTTACTGGCAATTCTTTGCGAATATAAAATCTAATAAAAATAACATTGTCGAGAGATCTACTTACTAACAATTTCAGATATACAATAGTTTTCTTTATTTGGCGTACAGCTGTATCTGCTTTTGACTTTCGGCTAGCGGAATCGAAACGCGCTTTTCGGGTGCAGCCGGTTTTTTTAATCCTTAGATATCAGGTGATTTATACGCACTTTTCTATTGTAAATCCTGGTAATCTCGGAATCTAAAATTTTTAAACCATAATTGGAATTTTTTTTTTTTTTTTAGAGATAAAGATTTTTTTTAAATATAATCGACAATGGGATGGTTTGGAAAAAAATATAAATCCTACCCCCCCCCCCATGTCGATTAGATTTTTAAAAAGAGCAACTCTTTTTACCTCCAAATACCAATTATGGCCTAAAAATTTTAAACCCAAGTTGTACAGATTTACATAAAACGGAAAAGTGCAAAGAGATCTCTTGGGACTTAATGTATTAGTTTATTTGATATATAGATTTCGATTTTGATATTATGTACGTGGTTATATGACGATGAGCGCTGGCATGGTACATAAAAGCGAAATAGAAGAGTTTAAATGTCCTGCAAGGCTAGTCAAGGACAGCACGGGTATACACGATTGATGTTGCAGGTGGAATTGGATCGCCTAGGCCCTATGGAACAACAATAAGTAAGGAACCTCTTCTTTCACCTAGTCATTCACACTCGGCTTGTCCGGCAACACCTACTCATAATCAACACAACGCCACTAATACACAACACTTTACGAGTCAACAACATACCCCTATGTTATACCAACACACCAACGCCAACACTATCAACACGGCAGATATGCAGAACAGTCAGTTCTGTTACGATCGGTCGTCAGTACCGCTCTATCCGTCTGGCGGGGAAGCGCAAGATGCCAGGTCACTGCCTTCCGCTAATAACGTCAATCACCAAATCGGTGAGCAGACAATAGACTACTTCGTGTCATCTGAAAATTCATTATTTTTTTACCACAATTATAATATGCAATATTCACAACCACGAGAGTCACCTTCATCAAATTCGCTCGTATCTCCACCACGTTTCTCATTAAAAGATAAGTGTTGTCAATCATTCCCCCGCAACTTTAAGTGTACTCGTATTTACAACCGAAATCATTACTATCATAATCATCCTTACCAGCAGCAGCAGCAGCAGTTTTAGTGGATGCAAAGCATGTATTGGGTGTGTGGAAACATGTATAAATCTCTCTTTTTCTATCTTTTCCTCTCCTTTTTCATTTTTTTTTAATAGTTCATTCATCGAGATGTTTATGATTACGTAAGTGCATTGGATATTAGTTCATCTTTTCATTATTTGATATGCTTCAAATATAGCTTTTAATATGCTTTACAATATAATAGGTGCCATAACTATTGTTATAATGCTGAATGTGAATAAGCTGATAATAATTTATCATTCATGTCGCTATCTCGCAGATAAATTATTTATGTCAGTGTACACTGTGATATAATGCTTGAAATCGGTTGTTTTCTTGTCGAATTGAAAATGATCCAGTCTCTCGCAATCTATTAAATGTCAACATAAACACTCTTCGGTTTGGCACTCTTCTGTTTGGAAATCGTCGTGCATATTCTCGCACCGCCTTTAAAGCATTACCGTTGCAGAAACCGTATACAAAAACCATATCAGCATATTCACTATTAGAATACGTACGCGGCATATTGCAAAAGACAAAATTCATCTACTGTTAAAGGCTTTCAAAGAGCGACTGACAAATTCATAACAGAAAGTGGAAAATGTAATCAAATATGTCGGTGCTAGATATGGCAAGAAATGTAAACATTTTTTTTCGATTTCTCTGAAACGGAGCAAAAACGAGCATATGTCTATAGGACTTTTTTTCTTAGTTTTTTACTCCTCTACACGCTCCCGAAGTTTTGCGATTTAATTTGGAAACACCCTGTATATGAACAACTCGATTTCCATCATTAGATTCCATCATAAGATTGAGAAGGCTGTAATTGCACATTGTAAATATTGTACATATAAAATTTTTTGTTGTATTAGATTGATTCTTGGTATATTGTAGTATCATTAATTTGTATTGTTACATTAAATTCAGTTCTTATTTTTTTATAATCGTAGATCCCATAGATAGTATTAGGACAACCAAGTTGTAAGTTAACGTTTTTGTGATTATTATAGGAATTTTTTGGAACCTTATGGAATGTTTCATTTTTTCTTTCCAGGTCACTTGTTTTAAAGTACAAAAAATTGAAAAAAATTTTCTGATTTTAAAATTATGTTATAAAAAGTCGAAAGAACATGCAACCAATGGAAATCGAGAATCATCTAAGTTGAAAAATTGTGATTTCATAATAATATAGAAGATTTTAACTGTTTAACTTTCTGTATTTATGAAATCACTTTACCTACATTTCTTTTCTCTTGCTTTATCTTGTCTCTTGTTTGCAACTTATACTCGTAATTTTAGAAGTTAGACAGTTCTAATGTAGAAAATAGCTTATTTAAGAAAAATTCATACATCCCTTAAAGTAGATTTATTTAGACTTTTACCATGTATATATTATTGCACACTATGTAAAATCCAAGCATCTATATCATAGCTCACAAAATACGAAATTTATTATCATTACCCACACCATTTACGAATATGTGTTATGATTAGGACATTACGATATTATATCGCTACGTTTATGTAATTGTAAATCATGTAACGATAACGATGCCATGTATTTTGTCTATCTTGTTATTTTGTGCCAAAATTGAGGTGTGATATTTTGAGCATTTTATAATACGTATTGCTCATAGAAGAATTGACTGCTTATTTTGTAATTCAAAAAAACAGAAAATTTTTAGGAACAATTTTATTATTTATGTTATTCCCTTTTAATTCCTTGATTGGATAAAATCATTACGATTAACAGCATTAAATGTTGAGTTAGTTTATTATGATTATTAGGAAGATAACTCAACGTTATGAATATCGTTACCACATCAAAACTATAGTACACAAAAAATGTAAGCAATAAGACGTGAGCAGTAACCAAATTAACTTTTTGGATTTGGTGGTACTGCTTACATTGTTACTTTATGTCTCTACTTTGATTGACTGATTCGCTTACTGCTTATATCTTACTGTCTTACATTTTTTTTTATATACTATAGCCTTTAATTTAACTTTATTTGTACATAAATGCAGACATCTTTGCATTATAATATCAAAGATGTCAACAGAATTGTACTATATTATACATTAGAATTATATATCGCGATAGCAATTAAGAAATGTATAATCGAATCCCCTTACAGCGAATTTGGTTGGCAATGCGCATTAGTGCACATTAAAGTCGTCGTAAACAAATCGACGTAAAAATGTGTGTTTATTATACATAATATATAATGTGTGTATATATATAATAAATCGCGAAATCCCTAGTACATTTCATTTTATGCTAAATTATTGATAAATTATTTTATCTTTCGAGATATTTGCATTACACTTTTACATGCAGATTAGATCAATATGTAATGTGGCTTTTATATGCACCAGTGCACATTACTACGTCCAACTGAATTCGTTAATTTCAACTCACTGGGATCAAGCCAATTCTCTGCTCTCAACTTTCCCTTCTGTTCTCATATTCCAATATGCGTAGAATGAAAATGGACTTGTTCAGTGCAGCGAATCGTTAAGTTGCTCTAATAACCGAAACTAACTTAAGGAGATTCTAAAATCGTCTGTTTTATCGATTGAAAGCAATAATTTTCGTAAAACGGTATTGCATATATTATTTTTATAGATATTAATTTTATTATTTGGAAATCCTCCAAAATTAAAGTATAGCATTAATACGTGTCTGTAGAGTGAAATTTATATTGAGAACGACAAAAAATTTTAAACTTACGATGTTTCTTACCATTTTTGGTCCTAAATGACGTTTAGAGCTGTTAAGTCGAGACAACATTTACTTAATATAAAAGTTCTGCAAACTGTATTTACGAAATTAAAGTCTACAAACTAGTAGATTACATGATGAAACAACGTCGAGTTCTTGGAATTTGACTTAGTCATTCAATTCTATACGATATCATTCTACGAAAATTTATGTATATGTGTGCGTGCGACATTGATGTAATAGTATATAAAGATGTATCGATGTGTCGCATTATCGGTAAAACAGCGATGCTATTGTAGTCTGATTTTTAGTTTAGAATTCCCTTTAAAGGTAAGTTATTGCTGCTGTACGGAGTTTCGACTGACTGACGTTGCAGTCACGTTCTATGCGTATCTCCTAGGACGGAAGTCATAGACGGTGCTCAAGATTCGAGATGGTCTTAAGCTAGTGCATGAACCAATCAGAGAGCCGCATTAGCATCTTAAGACATTGCTTGTGATTAAGACCGGACTATGGATTCTGTCCTTAATCTCATTAGCCATTTTCATTTTATGTATGAATGGTAAATGCGAAATAGTGGAAGAACATCATAAGAGAAGTGTGTTAGTTTCGATAACGAAGATAGGGGAAGATCGAGATTAAGATAGTTCGACTGTACACATTTTTGTACGAAAAATAGTTATCATGATTGAAAATATCATAGCATAAGCTTGTTTAAAATTTTAAGAATGTTAATACTAATAAGGTATTTCCAGGAAATGGAATATTTCCTAATAATATCTTGCTTCGCGTAAGCGCGGCAAAGCGCTGAAAGTGGCAAATGTGACGTCGGATTTATTATGTCTTAATCATTTTCTCATCTCTCGGGGAGGGGATCACACATCTTGTGTTCATCTATGTAATGTAACATCACAATGTAAAAAGATAAATTCAGACACCGCTTATCTCTACGTGCTGTGGAAACATTTACTAACAATGAAGCCTCTTTGTGTACAGTGCATCGAGCTTTCGTGATTAATATTTTTATATATTTTGTGCATTTTTTTTCTATCAGCCCCATCAATCTGTCATCGTATGCACCATTTATTTTATAAAAGTTGAAATTTTATAATAAGCAAATGGATAAAATAACTAAGACTTGTCGTGTACTTTCTCTTGACAGATCAATAAGATTTTTTTAAGTTCATTAATTATATAAAACTTTTTAAGTTGATTTATTATATGAGGATATCTGAAAAATTTGGAGGTTTTAAATAAGATTGGAATACGGAACTTTGGCATCTTCTTTAGACTGTTTATTTTATGGTTTATTTTATGATTTGGACTATATTGTTCTGGGTACCTTGTTTCCACTAGAAGTCGGTCCGAGATCTCGGATGAAGAAAGACTTGACCAGTCGCATTGGTCATGTGATCAAATTGTTCAATTGTGATTTGTTAATTCTTTCTCTGTCCAAAATCTCGGACCAATTTCTAGCATTGTGGACATAAGGCTTTAGGTAGAAACGATTTTTAGACTCTTCTCTTAAACCTGCCTAATGTCTTTTACATGTTTTTTCTTGGAAATTTCTTGGAAGTTTCTTTTCAATGCTATTTTAAACCTGAGAACAGAAGGAGGCCATGCGATGTGTACCTGAAAAGGGACAGTGACTCTTTCATATCTCTTTACTAAGAAGGATGTGAAAAAGTCACCATCCCCCTCCTCAGGTAGTACACTACTTTCATTATTTTTCAATAAAAATTGCTAATAGAACAATCTCCTTCGCTATTTTTCAATAAAAATTACTAATAGAATCTCTCTTATATAAAGTATCTAGAAACTGATGAAAAATGTCACGATATTTAGACTCTTTATCTTTCTATTTAAAATTCAGAAGATTTAAAAATAGAATTTTCTATGAATAAGACGGAAACTATGCATTAAGTCTAAAAGAAAATTATGAAAAGTAAATAGAAGAAAACTATAGAACGATGCAAAAGTCATTTCTTTTCTATTGATTGACTGTAAAAATTTTTGAGAAGTATTTTTCATTAGTAATTATTTTTTTTACCATGTATGTAACATAATTTATAAGTCTGTGCATAACTGTTCTTTGTTGTTTGAATCTTTTGAACGACAAAGAACAGTTTGTAAATATTTGTTTGCACATATTTGTAAATTATCGTCGTTTTCATTTTTTATATTTTTTAAATCTTGTGAAATACTGGAATTAACTATCGAAATATTTAATATTGGCGATTAATAGAGAGAAAGTACACGTATGAAGCATTTTTTGTCTTATTGAAGAACAAACAGAATCGCTGTTTTTAATCGAATTGGATTTATGACAAAATGTATTTTCACTTTTATTTGTCAAAATATTGTTGCAGAGCCTTTGTGTCACAAATACAGTATTCTGCATTGTAACGGACATAATAAATTAACACTACACATGCACACGAATGTACACGAATAACGCACCAATTGAAAAATGAAAACTGTGACGTGTACAAAGGAAATGCGACACACGTTGCGGGAACGTTTTTCATAAAGATTATTCTTGTTATAGGTAACGCCAGCACTTCGGAATTTGTGCGGCAAGAATTAAGGGCAATTGTTGGCGCGCGAACGCAACAGCAACAGCAGCAGCAGCAACAGAGAGTGCCCAACAACCTACAGAATAATCTTTCTGGTCAAGTTTCTCAGGATGATCTTGAAGCACTTGGTCTGACATTCGAGATGCCTTCTGCAGGTATGTACACTGAGTTGTAGAATCTTCGTTTGCTGCTTTCCGAACTTCGAAATCACATAGAGACGGTTACTCGGTAAATGATCAGCTACAAGTATGCTCACATAGCAAAACTGGGGTCTCGCAAGGGATCTATCAGAACTATTCGGAATCGTTCGGAACTGTTCGGAACGATTCGATTCTTTTTCTCTTTATTATAACAGGTCCCTTGTCAGTAAAACTATGTTTTCTTATGATATTAATTTCTCTACTTTTTTTATTTTAACGCAATGATAATTGTGCATTGCCCAGAACTGGAATGCAGAGTAATTGAATCGAAGAAATTTACGCAGCGTATATTTTATCGGTTTAACACCGCGATTTTGATAGATCGATTATATAAGTTAATATACGAGTATATTATATATAGGGTGCGTTCTGAGTTACTCATGAAACGCATGATGTATCGTTTTATCCTTCTTTATTATTTGGTGAATAACAAGGACAAATGATGTATCATGCGCTTTATGCGTAACTCGGAACGCACCTATAGACATAATTTTATTACTATCTGTAAGTTACGTTTGTTGAAGAAAAGTAAGTGTGAGGTATGAAGTTATTTAATTTCAAAATGCAAGATTTTGTATGCTTTCAGCATACACGAATCAAAATCAATCGTACGAAGATGATTTGAATTTAATAAGTTTTTTTTGTCTGCATTTCTATATAGAGAGGCATTGCTTTTCCTCCGAATTTTCTCAGACTTTATTCGTACAATCCCAATGTTAACTCCGGTCCCCACACATTAATTTTTCATACGACGTTTCATGAGCGAGTACTGTGAAAAAGTATTACAAGCATTATAGTTTTCCCTCGTAGATCACGCACATTTTTCTAGATTCGTCATCGCACGCGATTACTGTTACAACTAATTACACTGCATCTCCTGAGGCCCCGTTGTGTTTCTCCGTGAGATCTACATAAGAAATTTCAAATATACATAATAAAAACCCAAGCTCTTCCAAGGTAGTTTCGAATGCAGAAAATGTTACGGATAAAATTTTACTTTTCACATTATAATATTACATTATAAAAAAAAAGAAAAAGTATTGAATGTGAATTTCTCGTTGTGTTTGATTGGAGTGAACGTTAAGCTATTTGTACAATTTCTGAAATCTTTTACGAGAGAGACAAAAGCGAGTCCTCGGTCGATCGAGATTCGTACGAATCTGTATCGATGTACAGGCTGAAGCACGCGCTATGCGCAATCTCCCGCTTCTTGTAAGAAGAGGCATAATACTTTAGTTCTACAAAGATTGTGGTAACGCCTACTGTTACGATGTCCTAACTAGGTGAGGCTGTGGTTAGCGATGGCCCCGCCAAGATCTGGGGGAGCGCCGGAAGTGCCCCCTCGTCCTCCAGGGTAAGAACCCCATTCCGACAATATATAATTACTTTTACGTATTTTTTTAAATTTGATTTTGTTATGCTATGTCTTCCCTCTATACGCTTGGCTTCAGAACTGATTGTGCACGAAACATGTTTAATGATCTCTCTCTATTTGCGCACTGAGCGTAAAACTTGTATGGGGTTACTTACTTTTTTAAAATTTACGTCGCTCTACAAATGCATGCAAAGTCGTCGTTCAATGATTATTGTCTCGGCATTGTCGTTACAGTACTCGCACGTGACGATAATTCTTCCGAATTTTTCGCAATAGCCGTATAGTTGGAGATTCAACTCTTGTGTATGCTAAAGTAGAAACGTGTCCTGAAAATTATAGTTGATTGAAGAAGACTTGAGAGAGATAGCATTTATTTGATGAATTTCTACTCTTTTAAACTAGGGATTGGCTTTATAGTTGTAGAATTTTTTTATTCCTACTTCTTTTTCTTTTTACTACTATTTATTTCTATTTTATTTTTAGTTTAACCAAAAAGGGAAAATAAAAATAAGTATTTTTAAATATATTTCTTATATTTTTTATACATAGTAAGTATTATTATATATTTTTTTTTTCGTTTAATATACGAGTTTAAAATATGTTATAAAAAATAAAATTATCAGAATTTAATAATTAATTATTTTGATTTGTTTAATTAACTGACAGATCTTTGAAGTTAAGAAATTAATCGAAATTGTCTTAATCTATAAAAATATTGAAGTTTATATCTTTATAAATTAAAATTTAATATTTATTTTACAGAAAGAAATATATATGTTACAAAATTTTTTTTACAAATAATAAAATATAAAGTAGAATTAATATCCAGCACCCCGAAAATATAATTAATATTTATATATCGTTCACAAAACATTAAAAGTTTTTTATATTTTTTTCAATTAAGAAGTATGCATTGTAACAATGCATTAAATATCGATGAAGACGTTTATAAGTTTTACACTCAGTGTCAATGAGAAACGCTGTGTTTAATATTAAACAAGCTGATTTTGTTACCTCGCTAAATAGATTCTTGTTCGGACATTATCGAGGCGCATTAGCTAAACACAGTTAATTGCCTCTATAGTCTGTATAATGTAGCGCGCGTTTACGAGTTGCATATATTTTGTGCAAGGACTAATTGTATTTCTTCAGCTGCATTAACTGCGAGTAACTTCTTTTAAATTTGTTTCATTCACGCAAACGTATGACTGATATAACGCCAGCGTAAAATTAGCTTTCGCTAATTTCATGATATTTTTTATGAGATGAAAATAATTGATCGAACTCTAAATGTTAAAAAAATATGAAAACATCCAGACTTATAAAAATTATGCGGGATTATTAGATAGTACAGAATATAGATAAAGCTCAGGTTTTGATATATCGAATTTAAAGTTCAATTTTCTCAATATAAATTTTTTCACTATACAAAATTCATTTTCCTCAAAATTTCGAATTATATTTGTAAAGGATTAAAAATAGGAAAGTTGTGTATGTGTATGTGAATATATGAGATAATTTTAGTTGTTTATTAATTAATTTTAAGTAGATTTTGCTTTAACAAAATTCTAAAATTCTTTTGGGTACTAAAAAGAAAATAGAAAAAATGATATTATCTAATTAAGAATTTTAAGAATTGGAATACATAAAAAAATGGAAGTTATTAAAATGGAATCTGTAAGTTAAATATTTCTCGTATTAAAATAGTGCAATGAAATATTTATTTCGTATTAAATAGTTTTGGAAACTACATATTTTACATAAAATATAATTTTGTTGATTAATTTTATCTTCACAGTATACAAAAATTTATTTTTATAATTAATTATTGCTCTTTTTTATCATAACGATTATTAAGTAAAATTAATTCGTAATCTACATTACTATTAAATTAATTTTCACTTTTATTTATACAAAAAAAAATAAATAATTGAAAATGGAGAGCAATTCTTCATATTCAAGGAGTACATGGGATTTTTTCCCCTGCGCATGATTTTCTTTTCGATATTTTTAAAAATTTCAGCGCAATGCACTCATTCTCATATTGAGTGTTTATGTAAGGGATGTCAAGCAAGAGTATTTCCTTTCGTATCTACAGGGTGATGGTGTTGTAAGCTTCAGCTCATTCGGAGTAATCAGTAATCATACTACCATTTGTTGTATTGTATAACGTACGTCTAGTAATGCTTTTTCACAGTGAGCCAACTAGATATCTACGCGTAGTTCTTAATTTCTTTTTTTTTCCGAGAGAACGATTATTCTTATTGCATGAGGAAACCCGCTAATGCTACAAACAGGAGGGTTTAGAAAGACATTTTAAATTTAAATCTATATGATTTTCTAATGTATGTTCTATATATCAAGCGTATATAGTTATCTGTAAGAAAACTCGACTGGAATGCGATTAATTCATTAATTTAGGGTCAATTTGTTTTTAACATACAGGATGTGTCGTATATGTAATTTATTGCAATACTTGCTTATAAAATAAATTATAAAATGAATATTTTTTGGCAGCGGTAGCTTCATGTCATTTTTACGTGTCAAATAAAATACTTGCGTTAATCATGTACCATATAAAAAAAAACTTTATTTTAATCTAGATGGTAATGTATCTAAAAACAATATCTGTCATCAATATATGAGTTACAAACTTTTATTTTAAGTATTAATTAGAAATAATTAAACAAAAGTTAAAGAGTACAACAATTGTTACTATTCTATTAAATTATATAAATATTCGATTGAATCTATTCTATAAAAGCGAGGAAGTCTTTTGTGTTACGCTTCTGCCGATCGTGAAGTAAAAAATATTCAGTTGGCAATTAAAGACGAAGTATATATATTTCGTTTATAAAAGATTTTACAGTAGCGATCATTGTTGTGCATTGAGATATTGGATGTGTAGTTGCTATGTGGCTTCAGATTTCTGTTCTTTAAGTTTGTTAGGGCGAATCATTGTTTGGACATAACTATTGAAAGGATTCATACATTTGAATAATAAAGACTTGAATTTCAAATGGGTGAATCCTTTCTATCTTACCAAATTCTGAACAATTATTCCATAAACATGTGTATGCGAATACTAAATATACGAGACACGGCTGTACTATTAATCCTCTGCTACTTGAAAATATTTTAGATTAATATTCGAATCTTATATGATGGAAATATTGCAATAGATTGTCAATCATCAAAGTGATTTCAAACCGATTGTCGGAGAAATATTCACTGTAGAGACATTGTTCCTTATTAAGCCCTTTGATCCTTTGTTTCACATATATTGGATTTGTAGAGAACCTTCATTTCACGAATTCTTAAAATTCTAAATCTTTTGATGCAAAATCTTGATTTCTCCACTTTTAATTTTAATACTATAAACTTTTGATTTTACAGATATCTTTGATTGAAAAAAAATTATTTTAAATAATTAGTTTTGCTGATTCTTATACGCACATATTACTAAATTCACACATTTTTGACACCGGACTTAGTGTCATAAATCCTTAATTACAAAAGCATCATTGTGAATCTACAATTCCGCATAACATTATTATAAATTTTCTGTTTTCTTAAATCTTAATTTCACCAATTTTCTGTGTCGTAGATCCTTAATTTCTACGGATTCAATTTTATTAAACAATTTCTGTGATCCCATAGTACTTGATTTCATTATTTTATAATTTTTTTTTAAATATTAGAGTCAAAGGTACTTCGATGTCAGAGATTTAAATCTTAATGTAAAAAAAAACTAGATCTTTAGTATCTTGTAATATTTGCAACTGTTTTGTTACTCTATAAATATATACTCTTCGCGATCGGTTTCGAAATCTTTATATCAGAAGTAGCGAAAACAGTTCTAAGAAAGCCTTTTGATTTCAGATTACTATGGAGGAGGCACGAGGTGATCCGACGAAATCATCATTGCTGCAGAAGCTACTGCAGTCCGAGTGACTGCAGGCCACTATCCCGTCATGCAGTAAAGAGTTATATGTAATATATTTTTGAGTGTGCGGAACGGAGATATATAGGACGTATATAAAACGCGGAAGAGAGCAAGAGTGTGAAAAAAAGGAGAGAAATGTGTGAGAAAGTGTTATAAAATGCATATACACTTATACGTAATGGATACTATTGTATTATATGTAACGTCACACACGGAGTCAGTATTCATATACGTATCACCAAATACAATGCAAAACTAGCGCGCGGTGCTCTCTAGAATGTTGCCCGTCGATCAGTCGAGAAAAAAAGGACGAGCGAGAGCGAGAGAGAGAGAGAGAGAGAGAGAGAGAGAGAGAAGAGAGAAAAGAGAGAAATAGAAAGATAGATATAGAGAGAAAAAGAGAGATAGAAAGATAGAGATAGGAAAAAAGAGAGATAGAAAGATAGAAATAGAAAGAAAAAGAGAGATAGAAAAAGGGGGAAACGGCGGGACCTATTCCCTTTCTTTTTTACTTTTCGAACTTGAAGGACCAAAAGTTTTAGTTTTTGTTTGGCTGTGTCAAGATTTCCTGGCTGTACACGCGATTCGCCAGGAGTATCGAGGTCGCGTCGTATCGCGGCATGGAGAGAATCGATTCGCGGCGTTCGTTCCCGTCGCTTTTTATGTTTTTTCCTTTTTTTGTTTGTTAAGGAAAGATTCTTTCTCTCAAGCTCTCGTCTCGGCTTCGGATGACCGAAGATTTATGTCGTATCGTATATTACGCTGTGATGATCACAAGCATACGATGAACCCACATCCGCATTTTACCTGTCGATACCTGTGTGTGTGCGTGTGTGTGCGTGCGTGTGTGCGCGTGCGCGTGTGTGTGCGCGTGTGTGTGTATGTATGTATGTATGTATGTATATATGTGTTAATGCTTGCGCGTGTGCGTGTGTATCGCGTTCTCCGTCAGTATTGTATTTGGTATATCACAAGAGCGGGAAAAAAAGGAGAGGAAACTATATATAGGTACCTCAAAAAAAGGTATACTTTACTATACCACTGGCTGTTGAACATAGATACTATTTATAGGATTTAATTATTCTATACACAGATGAAAAAAAGAAAGAAATAGAGCACTCTATTCACGTATTCTTCTTAATTTAACATCCTTTTTCGACTATTACATTTATGGATAATATATTTGTGATTGTAAGAATCTGTAACCAAAATGTGACAAAGAATACTTGTTGTTGTTAATATGATTATAACTATTATTATATAGTAATAACTATTAATTATTTTATTTTATTTTATTATTATATTATTAATATTATTATTATTATCGACATTTTTATTATCATTATTACCAATATTCTTGTTGCAATTGCTATATTATTATAATAGTAAGAATAATTATTATATTATTTTATTATATATATCAATATTGATATTATTGAACACTTGGAATATTCATATTTCTATTCAATAGTACCTTTATATAAATATAAATATATTGTATAAATGTATATGTATATATATATGTATAGTGGGTTTATGTACGCGTTATATATAAATAATAGATGCGGACATTATTTATGTATAATCGATATATAAATTGACGTATATTTATATATCTATACATGCGAGATGGAGAAAGAAAGAAAAAAAGGGAAATCGATCTTCTATTTTGCATAGCTCGGTAATGATTCTCTTTTGGGTCTTAGATGCACACTAAATTACTTCTAAATGACATCTGTTGTTATATAAATGAGAAAAGAGGAAATCTAATTACACCTACACGTGTATATGCACACGATGCTATGCGCGCGCGCGCGTGTGTGTGTGTATACGCGTGTACACATACATATGAAAGAAATCTCACGCAAGTGTCTTATTTTTCAAGGAAGTTCACCACTTATTAAAAGTTGGAAGAAATCGCTACTAGAGGTTTTGAATGCATGTGACGATAATGATGGGCTCTCGGTGTGGAATAAGCGAATAGAACGTCGGCGAGTTTTCTTTAGCATCGACGGAATCTTGTTTTAATTGCAAAATTAGTGATTCACATGAGGAAACCGTCTCTCTTTTCCATTTCGTTTTGACCGTGATTTACAAATGTGATTTCGACGGACGCGGATGTGGCAATTCTAGTGTTTATTTGGCGTGTATTATTATATTTATATTGTTATGCGTCCGTCTTGTGTTTTTTAAAATTTCGAAGGTTTTTTTTATCGAAGGGAAAAGGGATTCGCGTTTTGTGAGTTTTTTTTAATTATTTAATGGAAATTAGCGTATATCGGTTAGTGTTTGAGTCATCGCGTGATATAATGAAAAGCAATGGATTCGGATTTGTTTGTTGGCGTGTACCTAAAAAATTGATAGATGTTTGTACGTGCGTTATTATTACTTTCGTTGTCTTAATATTTTCTACAATACGAAATACGTTTTTTTGTCCGTGGCGTGAGGAAACAAGTATAACGACGACGATGATGATGAGATTTAATGATAACGAAGAGGATGGTGTTGATACTGTGATGAATTAATACTTGGCCTGCTCGTCCCCTGTTGCTTTTTCTTCCAATTGAAAGCAGTTACAAAGTTGTAATCTCCATAAAAAAAAAAGAAAAACACAACCGTGAGGTACTCTGAATATGTACACGTACATACATAGGCATGTACTTGCCTGTGAACGCGGATACGTATATTACGCGTACGAGAGAGATAGAATGAAAGAGAGCGAGAGAGAGCGAGAGAGAGCGAGCGAGCGAGCGAGCGAGCGAGCGAGAGAGAGAGAGAAGTACGCACGTACATGTTTGTGTATGTCCGCGCGTGTGCATGCTTATGCCAGGGTGCGAGATGGAAACGTCGTGGCGTTTAGGCGTGCAGTGTGTATGCGTGTGTGCGTGTGGAGGCGTGCGTTGTTCGTAGGCACGCTCGTACGCGGGTGTGCGTAGCAAATTACGTCATATAGATAGATCATATGTGCTTTCTAATGATGAATAATTTTATAAATATAAATATAATATCGATCTCTCACCGTGTACGTTTATTTCGTACGACGAGCTTGTATGTGAACTTCGCGTGTCCTGGAAAAGGCCCGTTCGCCTTTTATTAAACTGTCAAATGATTTCAGTGTTCTTGCTTCATTTCAGTTGATTTTTTTAATCGTTCCGCGAACGTAAAGTGTCCCCCCCCTGGCATTCTCCCTTCTTCCTCATTTATATCAGTTCCAGTTTCTGCCTTCGCTCAAGAGCTTAGCGTGATATTATTTTTAGATGTAGTCTAAAACTAAGATATACTCTTATTTTTTATTCACCGAAAAACAGGAATTGATTTTATTTAAATTAAAATTTATTTATTTAAGGAAACAATATGTTTTATATCTTCCAAACGAATTTCTTTCTGTGTTTTATTTTGTAGACGATAACGAGAAATAAATTGTCATAAAATACTACCGATGGAACAATGAAGCTCAATCTTTTTTGCTACATTCATCAAGCAGACAAAATTTTCACGTTACATGACCATAATTTTGTTTAAATTGAAATTTATTAAAAAAAAACAATGTTTTGTATTTTCTAAACAATTTTCTTTTGCGTTTTATTTTGTAGATAATGACGAGAAATTCTAAAATATAAAATACTGTGGATGAAATGATCAAACTCAATTTTCTTTGTTGTTTTTTTCAAGCAGAAAAGTTTAAGCTAATTAACTAATCAATTAACTATTAAATACAGCGTTTTATAATTTATTATTATTTATTCCTTGCATTACATGAAATTTACAATTCGAGATAAAGGAAGATAACCGGAAAACATCGATTAGCTTATACAAAAGGATCTTTATTCAATGCGAAATACATAGATAATAGTTACGATAGCAATACAATATACATAACGTTAATTTAATTATCGTAGTGTGATCTCCCATAAATCGCATCGGCAAACGCGATGTTATTGGCAGTTTCGCGATAGTCGGATGCGACAGGTTCTTTTTCTATTTGGCATAAGGCAGTTATATGGCTTTACGGCAGCCAGCGGCGCTTTTTATCGTGCGCGCAGGAAGAGACGAGATGGCCGGGAGAATGGGTCGTAGACCTGCACAGGATGGGAACGAATATAATGATGAGTTCCCAAGAGCGAAAGAAGGGTCCTGGATGAGGATTTTTAGATAAACAACAATCCAGGTCTTGATTCAATAGTAGCCACTTTGACAAGCAATTCTTCTTTCATGTTGAGACTTCCGGGGGAGAAATGTACTGATAAATCGAGAAATTTATCAAAGTTGCATTTCATATCCAATACTTCAATTTCAATGGTCTTAGATTTAAAAAGGAGTTTATTCATATAATTTCTTTTCCAAACAGCTTAAATATATCGGGACTATCTGCATGTTGTTTACATAATCTCGAGTCTTTATGTAATTCTTGAATGTTCGTCTGCGTTTTCTATCCGATGTAAGGTCTACGAACTAAGATACCCAGCCAATATAACTTAACTAATAGAATAAAATAGTTTTTCTTGCTTCTTTATATACATAGGCTTGCTACGCCCTTTGCACGTCACTGATGCCGCTGGATATATGCGCGATTTATGTTGCGCCTATACGTTGTTGAAAGATTCCGTCGATTCCCAGTGCCTGCCGCGTACGCGACCCCTTCTGCGTTGGTGATGGGGTACGCGTCTGTTCGAATATCTTCCTCGAGTAGCCCACGGATTAGGCGGTATCCTGGAGGACTCATAGTCAGGCGGCAGATTGCGAGGTGGCGGTGGCGGTGCCGGTGCAGCAACGCCCCAATTATTGGGGGCTCGCTCGTTGTTGGACGTAAAAGGCTTTAAAACCTCGGTGACCCTTCGGCGGAGGCACACAGCGCAGCGACTCACTCGGGACGTATGATCAGCTTTGAGCGTCTGTTGCAGCGGTTTGCGGAACATCTCGTCGTCATGAATGGTCGCTAGCCAGTACGATGTCGCAGTAGCGAAATAATTACAACTACCGAGGCCACGACATTCAATAAACGGTCTGACGCGGAATTCCTCCAAGCAGGATCCAGGCGAGACTAAAGACTGACCACCACCGTCCGCACCTGCATCTCGGTGCTGTAATTTTATAATGAAAATTATATAAAATGATTACATCGAACGAATTGATAATATCTTCAATATTCATTTAAACTATTATACATTTTTTACATATATTGTGAATTCTTATCTATATTGAAATTAATATAATACAATCGACCTTACCATGAGGAAACTGTATCCAACCCAGATTTCTTCCCAGCCACCCGGACACTCAGGTATTGTCATGGATTGACTGTGAACAGCTATTACCCTAGTTGGTGCTTCACACACTGAACATCTCGATAAGTATCTACCAACTTCT